CCCAGGTTCGATTCCCCTCAAGGACACATACCTTGGTTGCGGGCACATCCCCAGTAGTGGGTATGCAGGAGGCAGCTGATTGATGAATCTCTCTCATCGATGTTTCTAATTCTCTATACCTTTCCCTTACTCTCTGGAAAAAAAAAAAATCAATAAAATACATTTTAGCCAAAATCAATTTGGTTCAGTGGATAGAGCGTCGGCCTGTGGACTGAAGGGTCCCAGGTTCGATTCCAGTCAAGGGCATGTACCTTGGTTGCGGGCACATTCCCAGTAGGGGGTGTGCAGGAGGCAGCTGATCAATGTTTCTAACTCTCTATCTCTCTTCCTTCTCTCTGTAAAAAATCAATAAAATACATATTTTTAAAATATATTTTATTGATTTTTCATAGAGAGGAAGAGAGAGGGACAGAGAGCTAGAAACATCGATGAGAGAGAATCGATTAGCTGCCTCTTGCACACCCCGCACTGGGGATGTGCCCGCAACCAAGGTACATGCCCTTGATCGGAATCGAACCCAGGACCTTTCAGTCCGCAGGCCGACGGTTTCGGCAAAATACATATTTAAAAAAAAACATTTTAAAAAATAACCACATTTCTCAACTATAAAAAAAAAATTAAAAAATAGAATATGGGTCTGTTTGAAATAAACCCCGAAGAGCAAATAGTTGATTATGATTCTTGAATCAGAAAGGGGAATTGGCGTCTGGGAATACAGGGAGGGACTTGGGATTTAGGCCGTTATTGTCAGGTTGGGGAGGAGAGGGTGCAGGGTGGTGGATCTGAGACCCCGCTCCGTACACACCGGGAAAACTCAGGAGAAAACGGGTCCCGGGGGGAAGGAAGGAAGGAATATATTGGAACTACATGGCATACACACGCAGGAAGCCACGGAGTCACGACTGTCCCCCGCCGACCCGCCCGGGGAGACCCAGGGCTGCGGGCACCGAGAGGCTCGGGGCCCAAGACGCCGCTGCCGTGACCGGACCCGCAGCCCGGCCTCGGCGGCCAGCCCGGCCCCCGCCCCGCCCCGCCCCGCCCCCGGGGGGGAGGCCTCAGCTGCAGACTCCGAACCGGACCACCCACCGGAGGCCGGGTCCTGCCGCAGCGCCTGGTCCCGGTTCGGGGACGCCCAGGCCCTCACTCACCATTGCCAGCTTCCAGGGCCCCGGCGCCGCCGTCCAGCTCCCGCAGGCGCTGAGGGCACGGAGGGACCGGCGCTGACGCCGACGCACCTGGGCCGTTAACGGCTGCCGCTTAGGAGGCACGTGACCCAGAGCGCCCACGCGGTTGGCTGGGTGTGGCCCCACCCACCTTCCCTTCTGCGCATCTGATTGGACAGTTCACAAAGACCCGCCCCCCTCATTTCCTAGTGACAGTTGGGAGAACCAGCTTTGGCCTGGGGGTGAGAACTGGCCTGCGGGGATGGTTAGGGATGGTTGGTTTTTCTTTTTACGTTTTTATTCGTTTTAGGGAAAGGAAGGGAGCGGGAACAGGGGAGAGAAAGAGACAGACAGACGGACATGTGAGAGAGACACATGGGAAACCGAGGCCAGGGATAGAACCTGCAGCCCAGGTTGGTGCCCTTGACCAGGAATCGAACCCGCGACCTCTCTGTTCCTGTCCAACACTCTAACCGATGAGCCACACCAGTCAGGGCAACAAGAGAGGTTTGAACATCTGTTCACTTATAAGCAGCCGCTCAGACCCTTGTTTTTAAAGGGTAAGCTGTAGCCGTAACCGGTTTGGCTCAGAGGATAGAGCGTCGGCCTGTGGACTTAGGGGGTCCCAGGTTTGATTCTAGTCAAGGGCACATGCCCAGGTTGCTGGTTCAATTCCCAGATAGGAGGCATGCAGGAGGCAGCCAATCAATGATTCTCTCATCATTGATATTTCTCTCTCTCCCTCTCTGAAATCAGTAAAAAAAAAAATATTTTTTTAAATGTCACCATTTTTAAAAATTACATGTTTTTCTTAATTTTAGAGACAGAGGACGGGAGAAACATTGATAGCCTGCCTACTGCACGCCCCCAACTGGGATCCCAGCAACAACCTGGGCATGTGCCCTGACTGGGAATCCAACCATTGACTTTTGGGTGCATGGGACAATGCTCAACCAACTGAGCCACACTACCCAGGGCCGGTTCTGCTTTAATGCTAGGAACTGGTTCTGCCAGCAAAGGCTTGATAATGTTGTGGGGCAGCTTGGCCATCTTGTCAGGTTCCAAGTTCAGCTTCTTGTTTGTCTCTGGTCCGCGGGCCTCATGCATGTGTAGCATCCCAGTCTCCACTTCCAGGGGACATTATGTAAGGAGGCCCCTCAGGAGATATAGTCCCTGCTCTGGGTGGACATAGGTGGGCTTCGCTCAGACTTGGTCCCTCCAAAAGAAACTTACACCCACCCAAAAAAGCAATCAGTAAACAGGGAGAATGTGATATTCATAACAGCATTTCATAACCCTATCTCTAAAAATGGTAAAACATAGTTCCAAATCATAAATAACAATGACCACTATTCCCCTCTGCATATTAGTATCACCGATGGAGCTTTTTACAAGTTAAGGCTCACTTCATTACATAGTTGTTACCTTCTAGAAAACAAGCATTATGAATGGTCATGACAGGATACAGTTTATCTCTTCACAGCAATCACTATAAAAACAGGTCTTGTTTCCTTGAACAGGAATCATAGCCTCTTACCAGAATAATACTTAACATTCTATTGCTTAAAATAGCGGTCGCCAATCAGTGGTTCTCAGACCACGGGTGATCCATGAGATCCGAAAGGTTGGCAACCACTGGCTTAAAACACATTTAATAAAATGTGTATGAAATGAGTGCAGAAGTCTTTGTTTGACAGAAAATGCAGTTTTAATTACATGCACTGGAACACACATGAAACCATTCTGAAGGATTACAGTCACCTAAAAGTAACAGAAAATAACCAGTATTCCTGACAGGAGGAAGGTGCTTACCTGCTTGACCAGGTCAAGCCAAAACCGGTTTGGCTCAGTGGTAGAGTGTTGGGCTGCAGACTGAAAGGTCCCAGGTTCGATTCTGGCCAAGGGCATGTACATTGGTTGCGAGCACATCCCCGGTGGGGGGTGTGCAAGAGGCAGCTGGTGGATGTTTCTCTCTCATAGACGTTTCTAGCTCTCTATCTCTCTCCCTTCCTCCTCTCTGTAGAATATCAATAATATATTTTTTTTTTATTTTTTTTAAAGAAAGACCACGTCAAGATAACCACTGTACACTGCAATAGAGAAACAAACTCCACGTTCTTTTCTTCTATGCGCCGCTTTGAATGACATGGGGAATCAACAAAACATACCCTCCAGCACCATTAATAGCATAAGATGCTTCCTATACAAAGTAGATCTTATACAGTTATATCCTAGAGAAGAAAATAACCAGGGAATAGTCCCATGCATAAAGAGATGAACTAGTTTTCTGGTGAACAAAAGACAGCTTACAGAAAAAGCCACTCTGGTGGATCTTTGATGTGAATCTTGTGAAGATATCACTGGAAAACTGTACCTCTAAGAAAATGGAAACCAAACAGATTGTAGTTGTTTTGAAGATACTCTTGACTGGAAAGGAAAAAAATTTAAAAAATGAGATGGGAAATGGTGTCCTATGTTAAAGCCTCTGTGTTTCATTCTATCTCCAAACTAGAGGCCTGGTGCATAACATTCGTGCACTGGGCGGGTGTGTCCCTCAGCCTGGCCTATGCCCTCTCCCAGTCTGGGACCCCTTGGGGGATGTCCACCTGCTGACTTAGGCCCATTCGTTCCCCAGAGGTGGGAGAGGCACCTGTCACCACCGCTGTCCTCGGCAGCTGTGAGCCTTGCTTCTGGCTGAGCTGTGCTCCCATTGTGGGGATGCACTGACCACCAGGGGGCAGATTCTGCATTAAGCGTCTGCCCCCTGGTGGTCAGTGCACATCATAGTGACCAGTCGTTCCGCCATTTGGTCCATTTGCATATTAAGGTTTTATTATATAGGGTATGATGGCTCCACAATCTAATGCCTATTTTGCTTATGCCTTCCATACTCTTGCACGTGAGGCTACTGGTAAAGTCTAATATGGAATCTCAGAAGCTATAAATCCTGGAAGTTTTAATTCCTAACTACCTACAAAGGGATATATCCAAACATAGATTTTGGGTCATATCACAGGTCTCTCCTCTTAAATCAAAATATATCTAACATACCAATCAGGAATAAGAGCACAGATCAAATAACAATGTAACAATTCACATGGAAATACATTCTTTCATAAAATTGACACACATAAATATTTACTCCCACTGTTTATTGCTAAGGAACATGAAGAAAAAGCTCTTATACCCATCACCTCTGTCCTCTTCCCACACCCTCCGTCAAAAAAAGCATTGTTTGCATAATATACACTAAGAATATCCATCAAATTTCACAAGGCCAGTAAAAAATCCAAATACCGCCCTAACCAGTTTGGCTCAGTGGATAGGGAGCCAGGGTATGAAGGGTCCCAGGTTCAATTCTGGTCAAGGACATGTACCTTGGTTGTGGGCACACCCTCAATAGGGGGTATGCAGGAGGCAGCTGATCGATGTTTCTAACTCTCTATCCCTCTTCCTTCCTCTCTGTAAAAAGTCAATAAAATATATTTTTTTAAAAATCCAAATACCAAAATAAAAAAATATTGAATTTTAATTTTTAAATGCCATCTGAACAATAAAACAAATAAAACATAATTTAAATAAGAAACTATTTCCATTTTATAAATACACTGGAATTCACACAATTTGGATCTAATGGGCCTCAAAAAGTTAATAGATAATATTACTGACTTAATAAAAAAAATCATGTTATTAATATGTAATATTCTAGAAAATCATGTCCCAGAATTACCTCATTGTAACATTCATTTCTAAAAGAAATTACAGTTCACCCTTGAACAATATAGGTTTGAACTGCAAGTATCCACTTTTAAGCAGCAATATAAACACTTTTTTTAAAAAAGATGAACTGCCATTTCAATGTGTGGTTGGGAAACCATATGAAGGATGGCTTAAGTTCTACAAGGATTTTGGAGTATGTGGGCAGTTGGTGTCCTTAATCCTTGAGTTGTTCAAGGTTCAACAATATTAAAAATCTACATCCTAAAAACACACTTAAACTTGGTAAACAAAAATATTTACAATTTTCAAAACAACTCTTTAACCTTGAACATTTTCCAGAACATTATACATAAATTAATTTACATCAAGCCTTATCAGGTTATTTACATTTCTATTCCTTTCAGTGAGAATTTTCAAATATAAAGATGTGGGTCCATCCCAGCCAGAGTAACTGTGTTTGAGCATCAATCTGTGAACCAGGAGATCATAGGTTGATTCCCAGTCAGGGCATATGCCCGGATTGCAGGCTGGACCCCCAATGTGGGACATGCAGGAGGCAGCCGATCAATGATTCTCTCTCATCATCGATGTTTCTGTCTCTCTCTCCCTTCCCCTCTGAAATAAATAAAAATATATTTAAAAAATATACAGAGACCAATGAAACCTTTCTCACACTCTTTGCCTTCATGGTTTTATCCAATGAGTCCTCTAATGCCTCCAGAAAGAAGAGGAATAACTGGTCTTTCCCACACTATTTACATTCTTGATTGGCTGCCTTCTACACACACCCCCTACTGGGGACCAAGCTGGCAACCCCGGACTTATGCCCTTGGCCGGAATTTAACCTGGGACCCTACAGTCCACAGGCTGACACTCTATCTACTGAGCCAAATCAGTTAGGGCTACATTCACTAGGTTTTATTCGTGAATCCTCTTATGCCTTCGTAAAGATGAGCCATCAACAAAGGCTTTCCCACATTCTTCACATTTATAGGGTTTGTTTCCATTGTGCCTTTTCACGTGTAACTGAAGATTTTTGTTACAATTGAAGGCTTTTCTACATTCCTTACATTTAAAGGGTTTCTCTCCGGTATGATTTCTTTCGTGTGTTTGTAAGTTATTGTGATCTTTATAGGTTTTACCACATTGCTTACATTCATAGGGTTTCTCTCCAGTGTGAGTTCTTTCATGTCTTTGTAACAAACTAAGGCAAGTGAATGCCTTCCCACATTCCTTACATTGGTAAGGTGTGTTTCCAGTGTGCATTTTCATGTGTCCCTTGAGGGAGCTGGGATAGCTATAGGCTTTCCCACAGTGTTGACATTCATAGGACTTCTCTCCAGTGTGGAACTTCTTGTGTATTTCTAAGGAGCTGTAGTATCTGAATGCTCTTCCACATTCCTTACATTCGTAGGGTTTTTCTCCTGTATGAGTCATTTTGTGTGGTTCTAAGGACCTGAAATATTTGAAGGACTTTCCACATATCCTACATTCATAAGGTTTCTCTTCAGTGTGAGTTCTCTCGTGTCTTCGAAGACAACTAGGGTACATGAACGCCTTGCTACATTTTTCACACTGATAGGTCTTCGCTCCAGTGTGGTACCTCTCGTGATTTCGATAGGACCTGACAAGAGTGAATACTTTCCCACATTCCTTACACTGATAAGGAGTATTTCCCGTGTGCATTTTCATGTGTCCTTTAAGGGAGCTGTGATAACTGAAAGCTTTCCCACAGTGTTTACACTCATAGGACTTCTCTCCAGTGTGAAACCTTTGGTGTATTTCTAAGGAGCTGGAATGTCTGAATGCTCTTCCACATTCCTTACATGCATAGGGTTTTTCTGCTGTGTGAGTCATTTTGTGTGGTTCTAAGGATTTGAAATATTTGAAGGTCTTCCCACATATCCTACACTCATACGGTTTCTCTGCACTGTGAGTCCTTCCATGTACGTGAAGTTGGCTGGGATGCCTGAACGTTTTACTACATTTTTCACATTGATAGGCCTTTTCTCCAGAGTGGGTCCTCTCACCTGCTTGAAGGGAAGCTGAGGAACTAAAGGGTTTGGTACACACCTTACCATGATAAGGAGCGTCTGCACTATGTTTGGTCATGTGTTTTTGAAGGATTTTGAGCCACATAAAGGTTTTCCCACATTCCTTACACTTATAGGGTTTCTCTCCACAGTGAGTTCTTTCATGATTTTCAAAGCACTGGAGATAACTAAAGGCTTTCCCACATACGTTACATTTATATGGCTTCGCTCCACATCCCTGATACCCAGAGAAGTTTTGTCCGGTGTGACAGCTGGTGTGACCACTCTGGGATGAATGATCCGTGAAGGCTTTGTCAAACATTCCGCATTCACACGGTGTTCCTCCCGGGAGAGGTTTCTTCCTCAGACTGAAATCAGGAACAAGGCTGATGTTTTCCCCACATGGACTAACCATTTTCCCTTCACAGATTCTCTCCAACATATGACTTCTGTAAAAAACAAGAAGCACATCATGAATGAATTTTTATTAGAGCAGCGGTTCTCAATCTGTGGGTCACGACCCCTTTGGGGGTCGAACGATCCTTTCACAAGGGTCGCCTAAGACCAGCAGAAAACACAGATATTTGCATTATGATTCATAACAGTAGCAAAATTACAGTTATGAAGTAGCAATGAAAATAATTTTATGGTTGGGGTCACCACAACATGAGGAACTGTATAAAGGGTCACGGCATTAGGAAGTTTGAAAGCCATTGTATTAGAGACTTTGTATTGATCAGTAAAATATTTGAAGTATATTAGTATGATTTATACTGAAAGTGTAGGTTTTATGTTTTGCCAGAGTTGTTTAAAGTTTAATACACTGAAGGCTCTGCAAGACAAGTTTACCCTTGCTATTAATGAAAAAGTGATATTTATATACAGGGTTTAATAATGCTATTTCCTAATCTACTAGTATTTTTGCAAACACTGATCATTTATATCAGATATAAGAAAGCAATTTGGTGAACATCTAAGATGTAATACATTTGCCAAAACTGGTTTGGCTCAGTGGTAGAGCATCGATCTGTGGACTGTAAGGTCCCAGGTTCAATTCCGGTCAAGGGCTTGTACATTGGTTGCGGGCACATCCCCAGTGGGGGGTGTGCAGGAGGCAGCTGGTCAATGTTTCTCTCTCATCGATGTTTCTAGCTCTCTATCCCTCTCTCTCCCTTACTCTCTGTAAAAACATCAATAAAATATATTGAGAAAAAAAAAAGATGTAATACATTTAAAAAAGCTATTACTTTGGTTGCTTCTTTTTAAAATTTCAATGTTTTTTTTACATGAGACACTGCATTCTCTTGTGTGACTCACCTTTGTTTTCTCTTCGGGTATTTGTACTGATCTTTGATGTCATGATCTTCCCATTTGTTACCTAAAGAAGCAGACCCAGAAAAATAATTTCAAAGTATTAGAAATTATTTAAAAATTAATACATTCTATTTCTATGATAAACTGTAACTATTTGTCAATGTCATCCCGTCCCAAATGACACATCTTAGAAAATGCTGATGGGTAAAAACACTTGTGCCTGGCTGGTGTGGCTCAGTGGTTAAACATCAACCGACACTGAGTGGCCAGATTATTATGATCTCTGAATGCACAATAATCTCTGAACGCATAATAATCTAAATTCCCCCCCGCCCTTCTCCATAGCCTGGTGCATGAATTCATGCATGGGTAGGGTCCAGCTAGGCTGGCCAGGGGGGGAGGGGATATGGGCAGTTGGGCAGCCTGCCTGTTGGTCAAATTCCTGATTGAGGGGACAATTTGCATATTAGCCTTTTATTATATAGGATATACAGTGAGTGGCCACATTATTATGCATTCAGAGATCATAATAATTTGGCCACTCAGTGTATGAACCAGGAGGTTATGGTTCGATTCCCAGTTAAAGCACATGCCTGGGTTTCAGGCTCAAACTTCAGTGTAGGGCCTGCAGGAGAGAAACCACTGATGTTTCCCTCTCTCTCTCCCTCTTCCTCCCGCTCTGAAAAACAAAGAAACCTGAGCTCTCATTGAGCAAGTGGAAGGAACTCATCGTCCTTACCTATGGAGGCCAGGTTCCTGAAGGTTTCCCTCATCACATCTCTGTAGAGTTTCTTCTGTGAAGACTTCAGTAAGGCCCACTCCTCCAGAGTGAAGTTCACAGCCACGTCCTCAAAGGTCACTGAGTCCTAAAACAATTCATTTACGTACAGAGTAAAGTTTGTGAAGTTGTCAGCCTAAAAGTCTATAATCCACTTATAAGAAGGTTACATATGATTCTATCATCTCCTATCATTTATTTTATGACCTGATCAAAGAAACGTCCTTTCTATAATAAAAGCTTTTCTTTATTACAGTTTTCAATTCTTGAAGGCCCTTTTTAATTAAGAACATTAACTAACATTACTAAGTGGCAAAGACCATAAAGTCAAATTTTGTAAAGCCAATTTGGAAGTGGTGAAGTCTTAATTTAATTAATTTTAACAAATGATTCTTGGATCAGAGCTTTCCTCATGACCATGGATATTTTTGGAGAATGGGTGCTATGACCTTGAGTCAAGGCAGATTTTTCATTTTTACGTGAAGTATACCCCTTTCTCTATATTATTTCAGCAATCCTCCTCAGATCAGGGCGTACCTTGCTTTAATTTATTGAGATTCCAGGTATAACTGTAACTTGAAACCAAATTACATGAGAATTGCATGAAAGGTTGCATATCACTGCATTACAGGTAATGGTTAACAATCTGAAATTATTTCCAGAGAGACTCAAAGTCCAAAGAGTGACCTTTAATTTTTTTTAATTCTTTATATATATACATATATATATATATATATTTTTTTTTTTTATTGAATTTTTTTTTTTTTTACAGAGAGGAAGAGAGAGGGATAGAGAGTTAGAAACATCAATGAGAAAGAATCATCGTTTAGCTGCCTCTTGCACACCCCCTACTGGGGATGTGCCCGCAACCAAGGTACATGCCCTTGACTGGAATCGAACCTGGGACCTTTCAGTCCGCAGGCCAACGCTCTATCCACTGAGCCAAACTGGTTTCGGCTCTTTCTGTATATTTTGAATTTCCAAGTAAGTCAAATTCTGAACCACTTTCAATGCCCTTTTCCTTTTGTTCTTTTGCTCAAGTCCTTACCTGTTTTATATCTTAGGTCACTATAAAAGCATCAGAGGAATGAATGTGCAGTCTCTCTAGCATGGTACCCATTAAACTTTCCCTTCAGAGGGCCTCAAAGCAGTGCTATCAGGATTAGAGGCCTCGCCTAGGCAATGATTGCTATATAGAACTTAAGGGCCTGAGGCTTGAGTCCAGTGTGAGTTAGTCCCTTTGCTATGGCACGGACAGGCTATGACTGTGGTCCCCACTAACCAGGGGGTCAGAATCTCTGTTGCAGGAGATGCAGCACCAGCAGCAGCAGAGGTACTGAAGGGTCCTGGTATTAGGAGAGTGAACTGACATGACATGAGACAGACAGCTGCCGTGGGTGTCAGAAAAGCAGTGGACAAGAAGGCAACTGGGACTGGCAATCACCAAGACTGCCCTGAGGTTTCAGAAGGCTAAATAAATATGATCCCCAGTAACCTGCCACCTAGTCTTAACCAGTGGTGGAAGAACAGTCTCAGAACTGTTTGTCTTCATTGGCCATTTAAGATTAAAGTAACAGACTGGTTAATGATTACATCGTAAAATCTTCAGAAAGCAAGGAGCATTTTGTGAAATATTTGGGATGTTTTCCCCCTGTAGCAATTTTTAGATTTTTGGTTTTGAAAAATTATTACTTTTTGGCAGCAAGAGAAAAGTAGCTAAATATAAAGCTAAATACCCATATGAAATATCAGCCAATTTTTCAGAAGAAGCTTTGCAGTCCAGAAAATATATAATAGCATGACATATTTAAAAAGGTAAAAGAAGCCCTAACTGGTTTGACCCAGTGGATAGAGCATCAGCCTGTGGACTGAAGGGTCCTGAGTTCAATTCTGGTCAAGGGCACATGCCCGGGGCTGCAGGCTCAATTCCCAGTAGGGGGCGTGCAAGAGGCAGCCAATCAATGATTCTCTCCCCTCACTGATATTTCTTTCTCTCTCTCCCTCTCCTTTCCTCTCTGAAATCAATAAAAAATATATATTTTAACAAAAATGTCAAAGGAAAAACACAATCAAACAAGTATACTTCACCCAATAAGGTAATCATTCAGAATTAAAGGAGAGATAAAAAAAAAATTTCCCAGTTAGGAAAAAAAAAACACCTCACTAGTAAAAGTAAATAAACATTTAGTAAAAGTAGTAGACTAGCTAACTGCAAAACTAGTATGATGGTTAAAGACAATAGTAGTAAAATCAAGATTATATAAAATAATTAAGAAACAATGGACAAAAACATAAAACATGCCATTATAAATGCAAGATGTAGAGAAAGTGTAATAAGTGTAGTATTTTTAGAATGATTCAACTGAGGCAGCCATTAACTCAAAATGGACAACTTTAAACATAAGTTGTTATAAATGAAGCTCATGGTAACCACAACCAAAAAATATATAATAGACACACAAAAAATTTAAAGAGAAATGTATCCAAATATAACATTACAGAAATTTACCAATGCCCAAAATAAAAAAGCCAAAAATGAAATACAAAAAGAACAACTACAAGAACAAAAAAATAACAGTTAATACAATGGCAATAAGTACATGTGCCTATCAATAATTACTTGAAATGGAAATTGAACAAAATGCTCCAATAAAGATTTAGGGTGACTAAAGGGATAGTAAAAAAACAAGACATATTCATATGCTACCTACAAAGACTAATTTCAGACATAAAGACATAGACTACAATGTAGGATGGAAAAGGTATGTCATACAAATGAAAATGAAAAGAAAGCTAAGGTAGCAAGACAAAAAAAGACTTTAAATTAAAACCATAACAAGAGACAAAAGACATTACATAAAAATAAAAAGATCAAACATATAATACTGTACAAATCTATGCACCCAACAACCTATATATAATAAAGAAGTAATATGCAAATTGACCCTCCCATCCTTGTACAAGATGGCCGCCCCCATGTGGTCAAAGATGGCCACCACAAGATAGCCGGCAGGGGAGTGCAGTTGTGGGTGATCAGACCAGGGAAGGGCAATTAGGGGTGACCAGTCCGGCAGGGAGGGCAGTTAGGGGTAACTGGGCCAGCAGGGGATGGCAATTGGGGGCAACCAGGCTGACAGTTAGGAAGGGCACTTAGGGGTGACCGGGCCAGCAGGAGAGGGCAGTTGGGGGCAACCAGGCTTGTAGGGGAGGGCAGTTGAGGACGACCAGGCTGGCAGTTGGGAGTGACCAGGCCAATGGGGGAGGGCAGTGAGGAGCAACCAGGCCAGCAGGGGAGGGCAGTTGGGGGTGACTGGGCCAGCAGGGGAGGGCAGTTGGGGGCAATCATGCCGGCAGAGGAGCAGTTAGGTATGGATCAGGGGAATGGTTAGGTGGTGATCAGGCTGGCAGGCAGGTGAGCGCTTGGGAGCCAGCAGTCCCGGACTGTGAGAGGGATGTCTGATGTGGGATTGGGCCTAAATCGGCAGTTGGACATCCCTCAAGGGGTCCCAGATTGAAGAGGGTGCAGGCTGGGCTGAGGGACAAGCCCCCCCCCCCCCAGTGCATCAATTTTGTGCACTGGGCTTCTAGTAGTAGCACTAAATATAAAGCAAAAATTAATAGATATGATAGAAGATATAGGTACTATAATAATAATAATAGGATGGGACTTCCAATACCCCATTTAAATCAATGGATAAATCATCCAGACACAAAATAAAAAGAATAAAAAAACTTGGCTCAAAATGACATTTTATACAGGTGGATTTAATAGATACTGCAGAATATCCCACCTATAGACAGCAGAACACACATTCAAGTCCAATGCACATGAAACATTCTACAAATTAGATCACATTAGTCCACAAAACTAGTCTCAATAAATTTAAGAAAACTAAAATCATATCAAGCATCTTTTCTGACCACACATTATAAAATTAGAAATCAATTACAAGAAGAAGAAGAAAAGCCTAGAGAAAGCACAAATATGTGAAGGCAAAAAAACATGCTATTAAGAATATATAAAAATATATATTAAGACAAATGGAAATGGAAATACAATATTCCAAAATCTATGAAACAAAGCTAATGTAGTTCTAAAAGGCAAGTTGATAGCTATAAAGGCCCTCAAAAACAAGGAAAATTTCAAATAAACAATCTAAACAACAAAGAATTACAAAAGGAACAACTAACGCCCACTGTAGTGGAAGGAAGAAAATAGTAAAGATCAGAGCAGAAATCAAGACTAAAAAAAATCGGGGGGGGGGAAATCAATGAAACCAAGAACTGGTTCTTTGAAAAGATAAACAAAACTGATAAACCCTTAGTGGGATTTATGTAAAGACAGATCGAGAGAGACAGACAAAGAGACAGGGCCCCCAAAATACAATCAGAAATGGAAGAGAAGTTAAAACAACATTAATAGAAACACAAAGCGTGTACTATGAACGATAGACCAATAAGCTGGACAACCTAAAATAAAAAGATAAATTCTAAGAAACATACAATCCTTCAAGAAGAATCAGAATGACGCAGACAATCTGAACGAACTGCTTACTGGACACAAAATTGAATCTGGAATCCTATATAATCCTATATAATCCAGAGCTAATATGTAAATGGGGCCTGGGGACCTACGGTCGCGACCCCTGCCCCAGCGTTGGGGCACCTGACCCTGTGCGCAGGTTTGGGGACCTGGGTCGGGGGACCTGAGGCTGCACTGAGGGACCTGAGGCGGTGCCCCTCCTCAAAACCCTCCCCTCCTCCCCCTCCCCCGCCCCAGTGCTGGGGGACCTGAGGCCACACACCCCAACCCAGACCCAGCTTTTTCCTCTGGTCTGTCTTTTCTCAATCCTTCACAGCCCCCTCTCAGGCTCACTGAACCTGGCTGAGCTGGCTCGGCACATATTATTACAATACATTCAGGATTTCTAATTAAACCCCTCCCCTGAAATGAACTAGAAATTCCAAAGATTTCCATGTTCAGAGGTGTTTTCCGAATATCAAGGACTACAGAAATGCAATTGCTTTTCCGCACATCCATTAAAATAGGAACGCGTTTGCTTTAGGATCAGTCCTGTGGCAGCATAG